GGGCAGTTCCACTCTGTCCTCTAGGGGCGCTGTGAGCAGGAATGAACTGAATGGACTGAACCCACTCAGAGGTCCCTGGAAGAAAGGCCTGGTGATCTGCCTGTGGAGGGTCCCAGCCGTGAAGCGCTGGGGCGCACAGTCGATGAGGCAGAGTTGACTGGACGGCCACCAGCCACCACCCAGCAGCCCGTCACTGAGCGTGCTCCTGGGCCCGTGCCTCCAGCCCCCCGCCCCGTGGTGTTCAACTATCTGACGGCTGTCCTTCTGCACAAGCTGCCTCCTGCGTGACCCTGGGGCTCACGTGTTCAGCTTTTAAAAACCCCGTTGTGCACACTGACAACAGCAACTGCAAGGTGCGACCATAAGCTCAGGCGGCACGGAGTCTGAGGTCCTGGGGGAGGAAGGACTGAGATGGAGGGTGCGGCGGGTGTGCGGCCCGGAGCGTGGCAGCAGCGTCACTGAGTTGTGGGTGCAAACGGCTGCACGGGCGTGTGCTCTCCCGGGTTTATCATCAACAACAAAACAATAACACGCATGAAGAAAACACAAGAGAGCACTTGACGCGGTGGGCACACCGCTGGGTGTCAGCGTACGGACTCGAACAGGGAGAACCTGTCCAATGGGAGTACGTGCTTCTGGTATACAGGCAACGACAACAGCGCAACAAATAAAAACACAACAAATAAAAACAAAGGAACCCATCTTTCTGAAGGAAATCAAGGTCACTGAATGGCCCAGAGGAAACTGGTGGCCATACTCTGCTGGGTGTGTTTACAGCAACAACGAAAAGTCACATGAGCTTAAAAACACCCAACGCTTGACACACACAGTGACGCATCCCAGGGGACAGCTTAACCGGTAAACAGTGTCTGCCTGCAGCCCCGGGCTCCTTAGAGAGCTGTCTACGCGGCACGGGGCTCACTCTCATGGAGAGCTCTCCGCCAACCACAGGAGGGCTTACGGGCTGCCCCCTCCCCCAGGCAGATGCACCCCTTAAAGAGTGACCCGTGACAGATGGGAAGGGCAGTGTCTGTGTCGGGGGCAGCTAGACGGGCAGGAACACAGGCAGTGAGGCCCAGAGCCGGGTAACCACAGGGCGCAGGCGCGGGGCACTCTTCCAGCT